TCAATATAAAAAATATAAGATTTATAAGTTTTAACGTTATATATGTATATATATATATTTTTTATATTAAAAATGGGTGAATAATTTATTATTTTTAATAATTTATATAAATATATTTATTTTTATATCATAATTAATTTATATATATATATATATATATATATATATATATATGATATTAAATATTTTTTTAATGGTATTGGATGATATTTTATATTATAAAAATAAACCATTGTTATATAATTTATATTCTAAGTTGTTTAATAATGTTTTTAGTATTACTAGTTGAATTTAAATTTAATAAATTAAAGTTTATTTTATCATATGTTGTCTATTTTTTCTTGAAAAATTACATCTCTAAAATTCAACATTTTTTTCACATTTTAACATAAAAATGAACATTATAAAACATTGCAACAACTAACAAATTGATAACAAATAATATAAGTGATAACATTGCTATAATCATAAATAATAATAATAATAATAATAATAATAATAATAATAATAATAAAATATGTTTACTTCAAGAAAAAAATATGAAAACTAAATAAATAAATAAACTTATAACTTTTATGTTATAAAGAAACTGTGAAAGAGAAAAATATGAAAGTGAAAGAGTAATGGAGAAAAAGGTAAAAATATGAAAATAAGAAGATGAGTGTTTGAATTTGAAACATATGAAGGTGAGAGAGAAAAAAAATAAAAAAATGCGAAGATAAAAGGATGAGAGAAAAAATATAAACGAAAAATTGTGTAGAAAAATAAAAATAATATTTTTATAATTATTATTACTATTTAAAAAATATAATAAATAATTTTTATATTTAAAAAATCATTTATTTAATTTTTAAATTTTTAATAATTATATATATATATATATATATATATATATATATTCAAGGAAAAAAATTAATAAGTATCTGCCATCATTTAAATAGATAATATATTCAACCAAAAAAATTCAAAGAGGAAAAATATATTTTTTTTATTCTCTTAATGTTGTTTTTGCCTTTTAGTAAAATAATATATGTTAATGTTTTTCTCCTTATAATTAAAGAGGAGTTGTATAATTGTTGGTTCATGCAACATAGTTATAGTTGAAAAAAATTACAACAATATTTGATATTGAAAATTTGAATGAGAATAATTTTTTGTTGTGAAAATTAAAGATAAAACAAGTTTTAGGGAAAGATAATTATTTAAAATAATTAAAGGAAGACATGAGAATGAATGATAGTGAAAAGATATAATAATAACCTTATTGAAAATTTACATTTTATAATAAATGATTTTGTTTTATGAAGTATTATAAAAAAATTGTAAAGGAAGTTTGAGATGTTATAAATGTGTTTTTTTTATTAGTGATTTTATCAATAATTAAAATGTGTTATTTTTCAGCTCGTGATGTCAAATTTTAAAATAGTAAAAAATGAGTGTGAAAAAATTCTTCTTTACAAAATATACTAAATTTATTCAATCATTCTACCGTAAATTTATCGATGGATAGTTACCCATGAACATGTAATCTTCGAGAAAATAAGTGATTATCAACGAAAATTAACGACAAAAAATACCGAGTGATTCTTGATGAGATATATTCATCGGTAAATTAACAATTAGTTTTCAACGGATATATCCGTCGATAAATTAACAATTATAAATTTACACTTAGTTGCTAGATGAATATATCCGATTGATAAATATTTAAAATATATAAATATATCAAAATATATAAATATATTTTATATTTATATATTTACATTGATATACATTTATTGTATGTAAATATAGTTTATTTGTAAGTTATTATCGAGAAAATCGTAGTAACTTAGTGGTTGGAGTATTAACCTTTAATTATAAGATAGTGGATTCCAATCCTATTGGAGTTGATTTTATCAAGTTATAATGGTACCTTTTACATTATTTAAGTGGCACAAATTGTGATTAAACATAAGATCTAAACTAACGGAGAAATCTTAAAGGTGATTAAAGGTAATCTTATATTGATAAAAGCAAAGAAGATCACCTAATTTATTCTAAGAGACAAATTACAATAAGTGAATATATTAATTTTTACTATTCTAGAAGAAATAATAATATGATATGGCACACTAATAATAATATGATATGACACACTAAACTAGGTCATATGATGGAAAGAGACTTGAAGGTTTATATAAAACATAATCTCTTATTAATGCTAGATCAATACATTTACCTTTTTATGAGCATTGTGTAATAAGTAAGAAACAAAAATTAACATTTAGTAAATCAATTACTAAATATATTGTATATGACTCATTCTTATACGTGAAATTTACTTAATAAGTCCATCAGAGAAACAATTTATTTTTCCTTAATGATTATTATAGGAGATTATGGTGTACCTGGTTAGAAAAAAATCATATATGTTTTTAACATTCAAAGAATCCAAGATACAAATAAAGCTTGAAATTAGAAAAAAAAAAACTCCTAAAGACATACGATAGAGAGAATATTCAGATTGTAAATCTTTTTTATATTTTACAAAGGTATAAAAGACAATTAATACTTCTCATACACCTTAGCAAAATCTTATAAAATAAGAATGAAAAAAACTTTCCAAGTTAAAAGAAGAGTTAGGTTGAGAACAATAAATTTGATTAAGTCTTTTCAAGCAAAACCAAGAAAAACCATTTACTTAAGTGGTGAGAGAAAAAGAAAGTGAAGTCTCTTTATAGAAGCATTAGTTGTTAGTTATGTTGCCTTATAAATAAAAACCTCTTATGTCATTCACATATATAATTTATTTTAAGAGAAAATAAGAGGATAAAGTTAGAGAAAGTTTTATAATCATAAAAAAAAATTAGAGTTTCTTTTATGAATATAATTGAGAGTTTCCTATTATTCTCTTTCTCCAAATAAATTATATCATTCTTTTATATAATAAAAGATTTGGTTTCAATATTTTTTTACTTTATTTTAATTCCAAACATTCTCCAAACTCTTATTAATTGATTGATGCAAGTCCGTATCATCAAATTAACCAACTTTTCTTATCTCATTATTCCACAAATCTTCCAAGGTAGATTTTTCTTAGAAACATGATACTTTTCATTATAGAAAAACTTTTTACTAGCTTCTTTTGCACTATTTCTGTCATTTCTAATATCAATATAAATACATACAACATAAATTATGTTGGTATTTGATGCTTTCTATCTTTATCATCCAAATACAAGAAAGGATAAAAAATATCATTCTAACATATTTTTTATATTGATTGTAATTATATTCAAGATATAAAGTTACTTTTATGATATTTATAATTAAAACAAACATAAAAAGTTAATTTTTATGAGGATTATAATGAATAGTTGATTTAAAATATCTAATTTTTTATGTTAATTGATATAAAATATTTGTATTGAAAAAGTATTTTATTATTTTTTTCTCCTATATTGGACATTTCAGAATAATAACAAAATAATAAACAAGATTTTATTGTCCAATGTTCAAAACAAAAACACATATTGCTTCCTATCATAGTTATCCTCTTTGTGGTCAAGTTTACTTGTCATCATGTAAAATTAAAAATAAGTGTGTCAAGTTTTCACCTTCTATGTCATCAATAACAATAACAACATACCTAAGCATCTCATAAAGAATGTTAATCTCGCTACAAGGCTTCATCATAAAACAATTGTTTCTTGAATTCAACTACTGCAATTGGAAGGTACAATAACATGTTTTCAATTCAAATCATTATACATCCTTAAAAATATCTTAAATTATACCAAAATCTTAACAACTCATTCAAATAAGGTATCATGAGTGATTATTAATTAATATCGTTTAACTCACTATAAACCCATTAAAAATTAAACCGGTTAATACATATTTATTATGTCAGTTAAAATGAAAATAGCGTTGTCATAATTAAGAAACTGTCAACGTAGATTGTAATCGTGATAATAAATATCTTACTTTTACTTATATATTATCAAAGATAATCCAACTTAATAATTGATTGCATTCTTATCTTCACACTCACACCAGTTGAGTTGTAATGGTGTCAGTTCCATTGGAATCTTGCCAACGAGAAATTACCGTATGAACTGACACTATCACATGTTCATGGTTGTTTAGTCACAAATCTTCACCAGACATATAATTTATTTTTCACTTTATTACAAGAAATAATTAATAAATTTTGAATATAGATATATATATATAAAGATTGATCAGAACTATAACTAAACCATACAATTATTTATCGTCCGGGATTATCAATTTTCAGATGATTTTGAAATTGAGCACATAATATTTTCAAAAAATAATATAAATTACTGAGAAATCTGTCATTAACTAACTAATTTTCTTAAAGAACATAAATTAGAAAAAGAAATCGTGTATTAAAATACACATATTTATTAGTAAGTTTGATTGATTAAAATAAATATTTAAGTTGTATTAGGTATGTATAAAAAGGCTAAGGCAAACCAAATGACGTATGGGCAAGTCTAAAGAGGTAGGAAGGAGAGTTTGATGCATATGGCATCTTGGTGGTACCCCAGCTTGTCAGTCTCAACCCATTTGTCAGAAGAACAAGTGGCAGCAGCGGACCACAATACCTTTAAAACATAAATTCCAGGAATTTAACCACATTATTCAAATCCCAATACATGAAAATTCATAACAATTTTCAAGTCACATGGGCACACTTGGGTTTTCAAATACCAAACATTAAATGAATGTTCACATTTGCCAAGTCCAATTTTCCCTTCTCGAAGCTAATTTATTGAAATTTGGAATTTGGTCTCTGGAACCCAATTTATTGAAATTTGGAATTTGGTCTCTGGAACCCAATTAGTGTGTAGAGTCTCTAGATCCAACTTCAATTAGCCAGCGTTTCTCATGTAACATAAAACTTGCTTAGCCAAAATAAACTAACAACATCCTTACGATCAAAAAAGACTAACAAAAACATAGAAAGGACATGCAAGAATGTGAAAGTTTCAGGTCTCAGTTTTGTCTGAGCTTATCACAATATCTTCCATTGAAGTCATAGGTAGTTTGCTCCCTGAGCCCAGTTTGTGCACGTCCTGGGTGGACGAGATGAAGATTCTTCTCACCATGTTACAGAATTCACTGCAAGAACATCGTGATACCAATCGTTATACATCATATTTATATTAATGGTGAGAAAGAAGTTGTTACACGAATAATGGGTTAATATAAACAAGGAAGTTTAATGATACAGTATCATCTATTCTAACACACTCCTTTGAACATTTCTTTGTTATAAGCGGAAATGTATTGGAAACTGCAATTTTGGTGGGTCTTACTATTTATTTAATGAGTCTCCTCCTGATTTTATAGTGTCAGAAGGAATATATTAGTGTGTATTGTTAACACTTACCTACAATATTTCCTCGTTAATTGTCATTGTTCTGTCTTATCTTTCTTCCCTTCTACTAACAAGTGTGTATTTCTGTCTTATCTCTCTTCCCTTCTACTAACAAGTGTGTATGCATGTTCCTATTAAGTTCTAAAACTTAACGGTTATATAGTACATCCATTTCTTAATAACTTCTACACCCTCAATTTTTTATATGTATAATTTTCTTATTTTATTCATTTTCTGCATTACCTCTTCTCTCAACAGAGATATATATTACTGTGTATAAAGAGATACTCACGGCCATGGATCATCACCAACAAGCATCATATCCCCTTCATCATCAGTGAATACAATTTCCCACTTGTTCCTGTGTTGAAGCTGTCCCTTTATGTCAAACATCTTCTCCAATTCATCTACAAGTTGATCATACCCAACCAATGTGGTCAAGTCCACAGCACGACCCACTGCAACCCCCTGCATTTGAACCTTTTTTGGCATGTTTTGAAACACAACAAAAGCGTTGCTTCAATAACTTTTCATACAAGACTATAAAACACTAGATTTTTTAGCTAAATAAACACGTGACATATCAAGTACCTTAGTGCAACTTCTGCTACAAACTTGCTTGTTTTGAGTCTCTTTTGGGGATACTTGTAGCTGTTCTTGTGTCCATTCTTTAGAAGCCTTCGAGATATCAGTTTCATGGTTTACATCAGTTCTGCCCTCAGTGGTGACTCCAGAGGTATTATCTACAGAAAGAGAGTTGTTCCTTGAATGATCAATAAGGTCAATTCCAAACAATCTGCAGCCTGTTGCAGGCTCTACTTTACTGCTCTCCTTCTCAACCTGGTCAAGGAAATGATCATTGTTCAATCTTTCTGCGTGAGTTTTTGAAATAGGCCAAACTGAGATGCTCTTGCTATCATCGGTTGTGTCATGATATAATTGAGAAGGAGAAGACAGCCAACTTCCTCTTGTCTGATTCATTGATATAACATTGCTGCTGTTTTTGTTAGTATGATGCCACATATGAGTACTGCTTTCACTCCTTTTGCTTTCGGCCATAACACTAAGTTGTGTGATGTCAGACTGGGTCAGCCCAGCGTCCCAGAAAGTAGGGGCAATTAATGGTGTGTCTCCTTCGAAAGTGAAAGCCAGTGTCAAGAAAGAATGATCAATACAAGACTTGGGAGTGAAACATCAATTTGGACCCTGAAATTAGCACCACCTGGAACTTTGGTCCTTGATATATTATGAAAAACAACAATTTGGTCTTTGAAACTGAACCACCAGTCAGTTTAGTCCTTGATATTATGAAAAGGCAAATTTAGTTCCTGACTTTAGCTGTTGTGAAGGACTAGATTCTTTTAGTAAGGAACTAAATTGATTGATAATGCCAATCATAGAGACTAAATTGACCATGGTTATCAAAGTTAGGAAATAAATTTTCTTATTCATAATTAGGAACCAAGTTGATTGGTGATATCAATTTCAAGTACGGAATTTTGATGTTTTGTTGAGAATTTGGAAGGTTAAAAGAGGTAATTCCTCACCAAGATCTGGAACATCACTTGCTTGTCGAGGCCTTTTATTCTTTATTGGAACAGATTGAGATGATATTGTTGTAGGAACAGAAGCCAGAATCGGTTCTATCTCCCATGGTGAAACTCTATCAGGCCTTGGAAAAGATGGAGGTTCGTCCCATTGAACCTGGGAATAGATGACAAGAATAGATTAATACCACTAAACCACAAGAAATAAATATAGTGAATAATTGCCAAGACAAAGATGACAATACCTTAAGTGATCGCCATTTTGAATTTACCCAATGAGGGGAAATATCCTCTACTCCAATTATTGTACCCGAAAATCTGATAAACCATGTCTTAGAAAATCTAAATGGAAATGTCATAGACACAAGCTAGAGCAGTAAATTTTGATACCTTTTCTCTGAATCGGTAGAATCATCCCCTTCAAACCTCGTCTTCAATCTCATGCCAATATTAAACTCTTGGTTGATAACCTCTAAATACCTGTCCACACTTACAATAAACTGGCTTGTCCTAAGCAAACAAAATTTCCATATCAATAATCTTCCATTTATTACTCACTAGTAACATTAGAGTATCTATTTCTAGTTATTTTTTGCAAAAAGAAAAACTTGATAGTATAACGTCAGAGTTTCAACTTTCTACTTATTTTCTCAACAATTAGAATTTTTACCTTGGCTTATAATATACCACAAAAAGAGTCTGAGTTGCTACAGCATGAGATGCAGTTGCAAGAATTCCTAGGTGCATGCTCTGACTAGAAATCACAGATGATGGCATGCTGTTCTGAACAGGAGTAAGACGCCTCACTCCAATTCGCAGTTCTCCATTGTTCCCTCTACAGACAAAAAAAGCATATATAACTAAGGCTTGTACATTCATATAGACAAAAACTCATATATGGTTTTACAGTTAAAGATTATCTTCTGAACCATATAAAGGAAATTAAAACATCAAATTAATTGCATGTACCTTAGAAACACAAAGGTGTCTCCAGCAACTAATCTCTTGGAAGTCACAAAAGTACTCCATCCAGTTGTGAGCAAGTGTCTACGTGGCTGACCTGGAAAGAAAGGAAAATAGATTAAGGAAACAACATTAGGCCCCTAGTAACCACAAACAAAGCCCCAAATGAAATTTTTTCATATCCTTTACCTCTAAATATATGCTTAAAGCGCCATTCATATCCATGAAGATCCTTGGCAACCAATTCCTGAGTTGGGGTTGATTTAGACATGTCCTGAGATTTAAAAAAAAAAAAAAAAAAAAGGGGAGAACACAGCCTTTGTAAACATCACAGGGCAACCTAGAATTGGTGTTGCAACCAAAATAAAACCAATAAAAGGTTAAACCAAAGAGATAGTATTATTACCAATGCTGGAAGACATTCGGTGGCATGCTTCCTGAGGACAGAGAAGCCACCATGGGTGCTTGTATCAGAGGCCGTTAAGACCTTGCAGAAGGAGTGAACTCTTGGCCTTGGAACTTCAGAACGGCACGGATCAGGGCATGTAGGCTCAGTTTTCTAAGACACTTGTTCGATTAGAAATCTAAATAATGGAGAAAAGAATCTAAGGTTGAACATGAAATTTTTCGAGAATCATAAGGGTAGCTACATCCTTACATTATTTTCCGGCACCAGAGTAATCTGCGCATAAACCTCATCTGTTTCTTGTTCAGCCTAGGCATGTCAAAATTCAAGCCAATTTTTAGTTTTCCATCCAACCTTTATTACACAATTAATGATCTAACTATTTTCAAAGAAACCAAACAAGATTTTTTTTCCTATTATTTATGAAATAAAAATAAGAAAAATTAAAATGGGAAGAAGAATAAGAAGGAGAACACTAAATTAATTAATAAACAACTCAATACCAAATTCTGCATGGCAGCTCCAAAACCAAGATATTTGACCAATTTTTCAACAACCAAACAAGAATTTTCGTTTTATTTCCTTTTCGCTCAAAAAATAAGGGTGGAGAAAAACGAAAGAAATTAGCATAAGACAGAAAATTACCAGTAAATGGACGTTGACGACACGACAAAGGATCTCGGAGGGAAGTTTGAACAGTGGAATCCTTTGATTTAGTTCCTGATTTGTTGATACTTCTAACTACAGCCGCAAAAACATATAAAGTAAAAAAGCAGTTAAACAAAATTAGAAAGAAAAAGAAAAGCATCGGCCCAACAAACATGCGTCCAACAAACACCACCACCACCAACATTCTGAGACAACCTACGACCCAGAAAAAAAGAACAAAGATTTTTCCTGAAGTAGCGAAAAACCAACCTGTTCCATGTGTCCCTGAGGGAAGTAGAAGACTCTTTGGCCTACACGAGGAACATCCACATGCGGTCCTGCACAAGCCTTCCACAGTTGCTCGTAGAGCTCATCTTCTTCAGCACGGTGCAACGACATCGTTTAAGTTGAAACCAAAGGTTGTTGATGCTGCAGTTGACGGTGGTTTTGTGTTTCAGTTGGGAGAGATGTTACTTTGTGTGATGAACTAATCTGAATCCGTGACATCATTCATGATTGTCATAAGGGTATGGAAAGCAAAGTAGTAGCACTAGTGATGATGATCACCGTGTGATGGTGTCACAGATGATAACTGAAACGAATGATTATGCGTTGACAGGGAATTTATGAGAGGAAGCAGCTTTTGGAATCGTGTCTCCTATGCTACCTTCTTCTCCCGTTACAAACACCTCTCTCTCTCTCTGTCTCCCTCTCTCTGTGTATATATATACATATACACACTGTATATCTCTGTGTAAGGAAACGGCGTTCCTTGGAATGCTAACAACTCCGTTGGAGAGTGTGTCCATTTTCTAATAAGACTCTGTCATTTTTTGGTATTGTGTGCCATGGCACCTATCTACTAGGTTCCCAAATACTAAGGTTTTTAACTCTAAATGATGAATAAACACAATGATAATTATAATTTGAAAATTTTTATATAATCATTTGGTATTTTTTATAATAATTATAATAATAATTTTTATATTATTATTGGTTATATATAAAAAATAGATTGTTCAAATATTATTACCTAACTATAAATAATTGCGACTCGTGTTACCAGAAATATAAATATAATCATTCTATTAAAATATAAGTGAATTTATTTAATTTATTTTATAGAATAAAGAAATACATTTTTTAAATAATAGTTATAGAAATATAACAAATAACTGGAAAGAGATATTATTTAATTACAAAATTAATTTTATGTATTATTATTTTTATATTATTTTCATTATTATAATAATTTAGAAATAAAAAAAATCTATAATCAATTGTTGGTCATCTATAATCAATTATCGATGTAGAAATCGATAAGGTTGATATCACATTACACTTATAAGTTATGCTAAATTGATGCTAGATTAGAAGAAAAAATAAATTACATACTTTAAATACTATGTGAAATTACACAAATGTATATTTTTAACACTTACCACAAACTTTCTTATAGGATATAGGCTATAATATTTCTAAAATATTTATGGATTTTTTTATATGAAGAATTTTTTTCATGTTAAATCGTAAGAATAATTTATTGTTGAAAATCATGAGTTTATAAACTATGATTACTAAGCATAATTAAATTTCGTTTGATTGATAAAAAATATATTATAAAGTATTTATATAGATTTTTTAGAAATCAAACAACACAGTGTTGTTCTTACTGAAAGATAATTTGTTAAATATTAAATTATTTAATTAAAAAAAGTTATATTCTTATTTAATCTGAATGTTTTCATGGAAAACATAGTATGAAAACCATTCCAAGAATTTATTTTTTCTTTTAATGTTGTTTTTTAAAATGTAAATTAAAAGAGACATATTTTTCCATTTTCATGTTCTCATAGAACAAAAAAATTTCTTCTAGAGTCCTCATCGGTAATTCAGTTAGTGTTCAATATGTTCGAATCAAATAAATGGTTTAAAAAGCAGTGAAGTAGTTAAATTTAGTAAAAAAATCGGTTGCCACTGTGTTAATGAACTTATTTTTTAAGAAATATATATTTTAAAAAATATCAATACAAATGTATTTTAGTTTTTTCTTTTAAAAATAAAACATGTTAAGTATTTGTTCTTTTAATTCTAAATTAAAAGATGTTAATTTAAAATAATATAATTTTTATCTATATTTCAATTGTTAAAGTCTTATGAAATGGTTATTTTTAATTTTTACTATAATTAAAATATTATATTTATATATTATTTAATGAATATTCAACTATTAAACATTCATCGTCTCCACTTATTTAATGACAAATATGAGTTTGAGAGCATATATATTTTTATGTAACTATTTAAAATGAGTAGTATAATTTACAATAAATGGATATCTTTTTTTTTTTTTACTGACAAAGAAAATGTGAAGAAAATCAAACTTGATTATCTATAATTTTTTTATTTGTTTTATATCAAAATTTAAAACTTATAACTGGTAAAATGTGTTTTTAGTTTATGTAAAACATATACAGTTTAGTTTAGTTCCTTAAAAAAATATTATTATCTTTTATCCCTTTAATTTTAAAAATTAGTTTTTGATTATAGACGGTATATCTAAAATCTTATTATCTCTTCATAAAAAGCTATATTGAGTTTTTCACTTTTGTTGGATTAGAGGATGATGTTTATAACGGGAACGGTAATTATAACAAGTTGGAATTGTACGGCGCATTGAGAAGGCTGAGGTTGCCGTAACGGAACGATAAGTTAACGGGATTGACACGAGAAGTCAGTCACCGTTAGTACCGTCCCTTCCTATGTCTGCTTCGTAGCAGGCAACAGGGTTGGTTCAAGTTACCCCGGCAAAGGCAATTTTGTAATAGGATTGTCTTTTTAAATTTTATTTCAATTTTTATCTATTTGTATCTATATTTATAAAAATTAAAATTACTTTTAAAAATTATTTATTAATTGAACTGTCTGATTGTTTTTATATTTAATATTTCTTCTTAATATTATGATTTAGTTTATTATTATCTAGTGTAATAGTCTCTTCATTATTAGGCAAATCTTATTTAAATTTAAAGATGTATATGATATAAAAAAAAATTGATAATGGAAATAATATGTTTAAAAATAGCATAATTGAATTTTTTTATTAATGATTCTAACTTAAATCTAAAAATGGTCATAATTACGAAATTGCCACTAGTATTTGTGGCCCAGCTAAACACGTCATCTTCATCAGCCTTTGAACAGGTCCAATTTTCTTTTATCTCTTTTTCTCTGTGCCTTGTCAGATTTAGCCCAACATTTTCCAGCCAGAAAAAAGAGAAATGTTTTAGCAAAAGTGGTCCTCCTTCACTTTTACAAAATTTCTAATGACCTTATTGAGTAAAAAAAATTATTAGATGAAAAAAACTATTGGATAACATAACGTTAAAAGTTAAAAATATGATAATATAATTTACTTTTTTTTAGAATTTAAATTTCGACCATTTTAAATTAGCAATTCTAAAACTCTAATCCGGATAATATATTTGTCATAATTCATTTCAAATTCCTAGTAAAAATAAATTACTGTCTAAGATTTTCAAATCCAAACACTATAAAAGAAATATTATGAAAGATAGAAAATTCACAATATCTTTTACTTTTAAATATATTAAGCTACAACAAAGATTTTAATAGCTCATGCTATTAGAATTTAACATTGCTACAACAAATAATGAAGACTATAATTAACCTAAGTTGTTAAAGTAAAAGTATATATTATATTATTACCTGTATCTAAGATCCTAATATAAATGTATGGACAATGGTTATATATTATATATAATAGCTATTTTTATAAATTTGTTTTTTTATTACACTAAAATAAATATAGATTTAATTATAAGAACCATGCTAATACTTCAACCACTAAACTATTATAATTTTTTTATAATAATTTATAAATAAATTATATTTATATATAAATAAATATATATCCATGTAAATATATAAATACAAATATATTTATATATTTTGATATATTTATATAGTTATATATTTATATGTTGAATGTGAGGACACAAAGGTGAAAGTATGTGTCGAGTGGGTTTTCAAAATTTGATACAAAATTTGTGAGCGAGTCTCTTTATATAAGTTTGTAATTTAATGACAGAATATAATTTTTATAATTTATTTATATAATAATATAAAATAAATTTGAGAAATGCATCATTCGCTCAAGCGAAAAATACCAATTTTCGCTCAAGCAAGATATTTTCGCTTAAGCAAGTGAATTTTCTTGAGTTTTAACGTATTTTCACTCAAACGAGAGTCAATCTCACTTTCACCATCGAGCGCGCCCTCACATTCATCATATAAATATATCAAAATATATAAATATATTTGTATTTATATATTTTATATTTATATATTTACATGAATATACATTTTTTGTATATAAATATAATTTATTTATAAGTTTTTATTAGAAAATCTTAGTAGCTTAGTGGTTGGAATATCGACCTTCAACTCTAAGGTACTAGGTTTAAATTACATCAATGACAATTCTTTAACTTAAGTGAATTTTCAATTTGGAAAAAAGTATTTTCTATTTCCTATATTATAAGTTCAAAATTTATAATACAAAGTTCAAAGCAAATTTGGGTGTCAAATAAAATATACCCTATAATAATAATAATAATAATATTATTATTATTATTATTATTATTATAATAATAGAAATTTGTGTTTTTATGCTTTAGGCATGACCACACTACAAATATTTTCTTCAGACTTAGTATCAAAATTGTTTTCTTGACTCTTGCAACTATTTTTAATGTAATATGGGACTTTCTGTCTCTTACTTTCATACTTCTATATGATTTAAGATTCTAAAATCTATATACACTACCAATTCCCACTGGAAAATTTTACTGTTTTAAATTTAAAATACAAATCTTAATCATAAACAAATTATTAAGTTTAAAAAACAATAATAATTAAAACTTATTTACTATGTTAAAGAATATGAATTTAAATAATTTTTTTACCAGAAAATATGAATAAAGAATATTTTGTTTTTAAATTATATTAATTTATTTTTTAAATAATAAGTCATTTTTTTTACATAAAGAAACAACACCAATAAAACATAAGTCAAACCCACGTAAAATATTGATAACACTCTCAACCCAAAATTTTAAGGTATTGAGTTATAGGTCTTTCTTCTTTATATGTTATTACTCAATGTAGAACTTAGGCTTACACTTAAATTACCTAATAACTTGCTATTCTTAAATCTAATTTATTTTATTGTGATTGTCTTGCTCCCAATTGTCATGACAACTTTAAAGAAATACAACTTTTGTGTGCTTCAATATCAAAAATTATACAACTTAGAATTTTAATTTAAGATGTATATCAAAGAGAAATGATTATGGATTCATCTAGATGGGCATTCC